GCTGGAGACAGAGAATGGTGGTGGAGGGTTGCATTTTGGAATGGAGGACTGTCATCAGCGGTGTTCCACAGGAACTGGTTCTGGGTCCTGTCTTGTTTGTCATTTATATAAATGATTTGGATGAGCATATAGAAGGCATGGTTAGTAAATTTGCAGACAACACCAAAATTAGTGGCATAGTAGACAGTGCAGACAGTCTTCTAAGACTGCAAAGGGATCTTGATCAAATGGATCAATGGGCTGAAAAATGGCAGATGGAATTCAATTTGGATAAATGTGAGGTATTACATTTTGGTACAACAAACAAGGGTGGGACTTATATAATTAATTGTAGGGCCTTGGATAGTGTTGTAGAACAGAAGGACCTAGAGGTGCAGGCACATAATTCTTTGGAGTTTGTGTCACATATAGATAGGGTGATTAAAGAGGCATGCTTCCCTTCATTGCTCAGCCCTTTGAGTATAGGAGTTGGGAAATCACGTTCAGGTTGTGCAGGACATTGGTGAGGTCATTTCTAGAATATTGTGTCCAGTTCTGGTCACCCAGTTATAGGAAGGATATTATTAAGCTGGAGAGGGTTCAGAGAGATTTACCAGGATGTTGCTGGTTAGGGAAGGTTTGAGTTAAAAAGAAAAGCTGGATAGGCTGGGACATGTTTCAGTGGGACATAGGAGGTCGAGAGATGACCTTATAGAAGGATATAAAATAATTAGATATATAGAGAGAGTTGGGATTTCAAGACAAGGGGGCACATTTTAAAGGTGGGGGGAGATAGATTTAAAAAAGACATGACGGGCAAATTTTTTACATAGAAGGTGGTTCATGTGTGAAATGAATGTCCAGAGGAAGTGGTGGATGTGAGTGCAGCCACAACGTTTAAAAGACATTTCAATAAGTGCATGAATAGGAAAGGTTGGAGGGATATGGGCCAGGAGCAGGTAGGTGGGACTAGTTTAGTTTGGGATTATGTTCGGCCTGGAACGGTTTGACAGAAGGTCTGTTTCCATGCCGTATGACCCTATTACTGTAATAGGGGATAGAATAGTTTCTATCTGTTGTTTGTGGCACAAAGTCCTGAAAGCTGTATTACCTATCTGGTACCAAGGTTCAGGGCATCTCTTTTGTGCTGGATAAGACCTTGGAGTGGGCGATGAGGGATTAAGTTGTGGTCCATGATCATACCAAGGACATTAGGACTAAGCAAAAGGTTCTGCTAAGAGATTATGAACAGCTCAATTCAAAGTCAGAACCACAAAAGTTATAATCTCCAAAGCCATGAGCAAATTGATATGGGGTAAATAAGATTAGAAAAGTAAATGTGTGACTCAAACATTTGATCTAGGAGAAATGAGTTACGATTCATGGGCCCTGGCACTAATACTGGGAAAAGAGAGAGCTGTTCTGTTGGGAGGAACTCTAACTTGAACCGTTGTCATGCTTCACTGGAGTAGAAATCAAGGCTCACTATTCCCAGAATAGTTAAAACTTTAACCCATTAAAAACTCCTCCTCTACAAACATGTATAGAGAGAATAAAATGGGTGTCTGAAGCAGATGGAAAGACCAGGAAGACTGGTGTGTGTCCTTCTCCACAGGGTCAATCCATTTGCTGATAAGAACATTATTTCTCCATCTTCTTTCTACGTGTACGTTCACTTGTTTGCGGGAGACACATGCTGACTGGTTCACATTTATAAACTTCTCTGGTTTGTTAGTTAAAACTTGCAGCACTGATGAGGTCAAACTGGCTGGCTTCATGCTTGAGATACATTTACTGCAGAGTAAAATTGACTCCTCCCTCAAAGGACCACACTGCTTGGGTGGTGTTTGCACATTCTCCCCTTGTTTGTGTGGGTTTCTGGGTGTTCTGGCTTCCACCCACAGCACAAAAAATGTGCGGGTCATAGCGGATTGGCCAAGCTAAATTGCCCTGTCGCGTCTAGGGATGTACAGGCAAGATAGGTTAGTCATGGGAAATGCACGAATATGGGGAACAATGAGCCTGGGTGAGATGCTCTTCAGAGTGTCAGAGCAGACACAGTGGGCTGGTGGCTTCAATCTGCATTGTAGGGATTCTGATTCTGAGATCCGATTGGTATCTGACCTGAACATTCATAGCTCCAAGCTGTTTAGCTACCCAGAAGCCAGTCACACTGTTATTGGCAAAAGGCTTCTGTCGATGTCTGGTCACAAGACCAATCAGCTACTTGTTGCTGTCTGAAACTCCATTGATACCTTGGCTCCAGATTGGCTGCAAACAAGACCTTCCCCACTGCCTGAACCAGCAGCTTTGTAAACAGTGCTTACAGTGAGGGTCAGGGAGTAATAAGCACAGCAATCCTTTTCATAGTCCTTTGTTTTATTTAAAACAGTCCTTTTCCTAATTCAGTCCGCAGTCAAAAATACAGAGAAATAAAAAGATATGGTCTTTACACAACACTGGGACCGGTATCATAGTGCATTGTATAAGTAGGATTGGAGGTGGGGTTTCTAAACCGAGTATTTGGGGAGGGGGTCGGCTTCAGCTGAAGAGCATTTTTAAATAGTCAGTGGAAACGAGAGAGCAAATGTGCTAGATAGTGAAGAATTGATCAATAATGTAAGTATAACAGGAAGGGGGTAGAAAATATAAGCAGAAGCACACTGCAGAAGTTACTTGGATTTATTTTTGATTTATTTATTGTCACGCGTATTTTGTTAGAAAATACAATGAAAAGCATTGTATAGTGTATAGTATCGCGATTCACCGGCGCCATCTTAAAATACAAAAATAAACCAAAACATGGAATATAAAGGCAGGAAAATTAAGAAGTAAAGTAAGTGTCCAATTTTATAGTCCTTCTTTTACATGCTCCGCCGTGGGCCTGGTAGCCAGGCATGAGTCCCCTTTGCTGCGTCACTGTTACTGGAATGAAAGTGGTCTCCCTTCAGCACTGTCTCACCTCCACTGATGCCCTCCCCAGTATGAGTCAACAATGCAGACACCACCAATGCTGATACATACTGTGCCAGCCCAAACTTGACACTGCTACCGCCATGAGTCAGCTTCAGACCCACCCTCGCCAGTGTAGCCGTTGCAGATGCCACAGGGTCTCCATACCGGACCCAACCTCACCAATGCAGCTGCCTCCATGAATCTGTATTGGACGCAAATGCTGCTGGAAATCCAAACTAACTTCCGCCGTAGATGATGAATGAGAGAATTAATTATGAAAATAAATTAGCAAGAAATATAGAAGCAAAAGCAAGAGCTTGCACTGCTATATAAAAAAAGACAGTAGCTAAGGTGAGTGTGGGACCCTTGGAGAATGTGGCTAGAAAGTTGATAACGGGGAACAAGGAAGTGGCAGATAATTTAAACCAATATTTTGCATTGGTCTTCATGTGACATAAACTATGAACATCCCAAAGATATCAAATAAGTGAGGTGCTAATGGAGAAAAGCTCTTGTAACAGTCTGTGTGACCAGGGACAAACTATTTGGAAAAACTCTTGGGATTGAAGGCAGCCTAGTTGCCAGGACCCAGTGTCCTGCATCCAAGGGTTTTTAAAGGACAGAACTGCAGAGATAGTGGATGCATTGGTCAAAATATCCCAAAACTACCTGCATTCCGAGAAGGTCCCAGTGGATTGGAAAACTGTTAATGTGATGCCCCTGTCAAAGATGTTTGGGAGATAGAGCAGAATACTATAGGCTAGTTATAGTGCTAATTACTAGTTACTGTGGGCCTAACATCATGTCACTAGGGAAGTGCATGAGTCCACTGATAAGGAAGAAATAGCAGGACTTTTAGTAAAGAATGCAATCAAACAGAGTCAGGATGGTTTTGTGAAAGCAAAATCACGTTGGACAAATTTATTAAATCTGTGAATATGACAAGCAGAGTTGATAATGAGGGACCAATAATAGATGTAACGTATTTGGATTTCCAACGTTTCAAGTGAAAGTTAACTCAGCTGATACCAGGAATGGCAGGATTATTGTATCAGCAGAGATTGGTATGATTGATCCTGTTTCACTAGAATTTAGAAGGATCTGAGGGCAAATTGATTCAAAAATATAAAATTCTGACACGGCTGGACATAGTGGAGATAGTGATGATGTTTCCCCTGACTGAGGGGTCCAGAACAAAGGGTCATGGTCTCGGGATACATGGGAGGCCATTTTGAACTGAGATGATGAAAAATGTCTTCACTCCAAGGGTAGTGGAATTCTTTGCTACAGAAAGCTGTGGAGGCAAATCGCTGAATATGTTTTAAGTATGAAATAGATTTCTAGAAGCTAAAGGTGCCAACGGTTAGGGTTAAGGGAGAGAGTGGGAGTATGGTGTTCACAGAGGATTTACTGTGACCATGTTGAATGGCAGAGTGGGCTTGATGGACTGAATAGCCTCTGACTGTTTCTATGTTTTTATGTTTTGATTTCGAGCCTGTGGTGCCATTCAGTAAGATTATGGCTGAACTGCTTGTAGCCTCAGTTCAACTTTTCTTTCTGTCTACAGTAAACTTTGATGCAAAAATTGATTTCAATCTCAAATACATGCCTCAGCCTCCACTGGCCTCTGGGAAAGAGAATTGCACAGAATAACACCCTGAGAGAAGAACATTGTCTTCATCTCCGTCTTAAGTTGGAAATACTTTGAAAGCTTTCCCCTTGTCCTGGTTTTTCTGTCATGGGGAAAAGCCCTTTCAGCATTCACACTGTCAAGTCTCCTTGGATCTGAAGCTAATTTCTTATTCTAAACTCCAATGGATACAGACCCAGCCTGTCCACTAACAAGGCAACCCTCTTCATTGCAGCAATGTGTTGACTGCCAATGGCCTTTGGGGTGGTTAGGGAGGTAAAGGAGGAAAATGTATGTGCGGGGCTAAAGGCGTGTACGGGAGGAGGTGTGGGGAGGATATGTCGGGGAGGAGATGCAAGGTGGGGAAGGGTGCGGTTTTAGGAAGAGGCTTTGAGACTGCTGCAGCACATGACTGACTGCCTTTCTCTCCTCCCAGGTCCTACAACATTAATAAATTGGCCTATCAGGAAGTGGAGGATCTTCTGTCTATAGGTGAGAAGGCGGGTTTAGTGTGAGAATCCCTGTCTCATTGCTGCACTGGCAAGAGGAGATTAGAGAGAGTGTCAGAACTGCTACCGCACAGAATGGGAGCATATCTCTGCTGACTCAATGAAAACAACTCCATTAATCCCTTTCACTCATGTCATCCTGTAGCTCTGCACATTTTCAGGTCCTAGAGTCATATATCACTGAAGAGGTCTTTTGGCCCATCAAGTATATGACATTTTTTCAATACCAATCCCACTTTCTAGCACTTGGCTTATCATCTTGAGTGTTTCAAGGGCTCGTCACATGCTTTTTTAAAAGTTGAGGTTTCCTGCCTCAACTATCCTCCTATGCAGACCAATTATTTCCTCAAATCCCCTTTAAACGTCCTGCCCTTCACCCTAATATTATACCCCCTTGTTATTGACCCCGTGACTAAGGGAACTGCTGCTTTCTATCCCCTTGTCCATGCCCCTCATAATCCTGTACCCCTCTGTCAGGTGCCCTCTCAACCTTCTATGATCCAAAGAAAACAACCTGAGCTTATCCAGCCCCCCTCCATCGCCAACCTGCTCCATCCCAGGCAACATCCTGGTGGGCAAAGAGTGGCAGATGGAGTACAGCTTGGGAAAGTGTGAGGTCATGCACTTTGGTAAGAAGAATAGAGGTATGGACTATTTTCTAAATGGGGAGAAAATTCAGAAGTCTGAAGTGCAAAGAGACTTGGGAGTTCTAGTCCAGGATTCTCTCAAGGTAAACTTGCAGGTTGAGTCAGTAATCAGGAAGGCAAATGCAATGTTGGCATTTATTTTGAGAGGACTTGAATATAAAAGCAGGGATGTACTACTGAGGCTTTATAAGGCGCTGCTCAGGCCACATTTGGAGTATTGTGCGCACTTTTGGGCCCCATATCTCAGGAGGGATGTACTGGCCCTGGAGCGGGCTCAGAGGAGGTTCACGAGAATGGTCCCAGGAATGGAAAGCTTAACATATGAGGAACGTTTGAGGACTCTGGAACTATACTCATTGGAGTTTAGAAGGACGAGGGGGGATCTAATTGAAACTTTCAAAGTACTCAATGGCCTGGACAAAGTGGATGTCGGGAAGAGGGCACAGCCTTAGAGTAAAGGGAAGACCTTTTAGAACAGAGATAAGGAGAAACTTCTTCAGCCAGAGAGGAGTGAATATATGGATTTAACTGCCACAGAGGGCTGTGGACGCCAGGTCATTGAGTACATTTAAGACTGAGATAGATAGGTTCTTGATTATCAAGGGGATCAAGGGTTACAGGGAGAAAGCAGGAGAATGGGGTTGAGGAACTTATCAGCCATGATTGAATGGCGGAGCAGACTCGATGGGCCAAATGACCTAATTTATGCTCCTATGTCTTATGGTCTTATGAATCTCCCTCTGCACCCTCTCCAGGGGTATCACATCCTTCCTATACTGAGATGACCACAACGGCACGCAGTGCCCCAGCTGTGGCCTAACCAAAGTCCTGTACAGCTCCACTATAACCTCCCTGCTGTTATAATCTATGCAATGACTGATAACGGTAAGTGTCCCCTACACCTTCTTAACTATCCTATTAACCAGTCCTGTCACCTTCAGGGATCAGTGAACAAACACATCAAGATCACTCTGTTCCTCTGAGCTTTCTAGTGTCTTGTCATTCATTGAGTACTCCCTTGTCTTGTTCCTTCTTCCAAAGTGCATCTCATCACATTTATCAGGGATAAATTCCACCTACCACTGATCTGCTCATCTGACCAATCCATTTATGTTCTCCTGTAATCTAACACCTTCCTCATTATTGTTGACCACCTGGCGAATCTTTGTGTCATCCACAAACTTACTTAACATCCCTCCCACGTTCCCATCTCCATTGTTTATGAATATCACAAACAGTAAGGGACCCAGCACTGATCCCTGTGATACACCACTGCACACCGGGCTCCAGTCACACAAACAGCCTCCTACCACCATTCTGTCTCCATTTTTTAAAAAAAATTCATTCATGGGATGAGGGTGTCGCTGAGTAGGCCAGCATTTAGTGCCCATCCCTAATTGGTAAATATGGCGTTATAGAGATGAGGGAGGGGTGGGTACCCTTTGGAGGGTCAATGAAAATTTGATGGACTGAATAGCCTCTATTTGCACTGTTGGCATTTTGTGATTCTGAATCTAAAGGTGATGAATGTCTGAATGAGCGTTTCAGCAGCACAACAGCTGGGATAGGGGTGAAGATGGAGAGGTGGAAATCGACGGTCTGAGAGATGGCACAAATGTGGGGTCAAAGGCACATCTGATATTAGTGAGCTGGTTGGTTTAGTGTTAGACTGTTGCTGCGCAGAAGGATGGAGTTGATTACCAGGGTGTAGGGAGTTTGAGGCAAGCATTGAAAACGATATCTTTGGCATTCCCAATGTTTAATGGTAGGAATGATCTGCTCATCCCACTACTGGGTGTCAGATAAGCAGTGAGAGGGGGTGGACAGTCGTGTGCCAGGAGCAATACCAGGCATACCTAAAAATGAGGTGTCAACCTGGTGAAGGATTATTTCCGTGCCAAACAGTAAAGACCAGAAGGTATAGGAACAGAATTAGGCTATTTGGCCCATCTAGTCTGCTGTACCATTCGATCACGGCTGATAAGCTTCCAAACCCCATTCTCCAGCCTTCTCCCCATACTTGATCCCCTTGCTGATCAAGAAGCTAAGCAGCAAATGACAGACAGAGTTAAGCAATCCCACAACCAACAGGTCAGATCTAACATACATAGTTAAGCCACATCCAGTCGTGAGTGGTTGTAGACAATTAAGCAACTCACTGGAGGAGGAGACTTCAAAAATATCCCCATCCTCAATAATGTAAGAGCCCAGCACATCTGTGTGAAAGAGAAGGCTGAAGCTGTTGCAGCAATCTTCAGCCAGAAGTGCTGAGTGGATGATCCATTTTGGCCTCCTCCAACGGTCCAGCGTGTTATGAAGGAGAGGTCGACCCCTCTCTGATAAATAAAACTGAAACAACCCAGAGAAGCTCACTTTACCTCGTAATTTGTTAAAGGAAGTGTGAAAAGTAGTATAACCTGCCTCTCACCACTGACCCCCCCCCCCCCCTACCCCCACCACCAATCTGTTATAAAGGAGTGGTTAAATGAAAGAAATCCCTGATACTAACTTTATAGTCAACAAGTAACAATTTATTTATCTAACTGTAACAGTAAACAAATTAACAGAACTACTAACAAACCAAACAATTCCCCCTTAACTACTAACTATTCCCAAATAAACAAAATTCTAATGGTATGCTGTTCTAATAAATAGAAGTCCCACTTTTATAATCCAAACTAATAAAAAAAAATTAAAACTCAGGTCTCTCAAAATTACAGCCAGGATAAGTCTTCCAGAATGCTCCGCGCTCTCTCCGCTGATCCTCAGAAACACCTTTCTCTGTTGAATTCTTATGTCAAGAATATTAAATAAGAGTGCCTCTTGTACCTTTAGCTGATGGTTTTCTGAGAGCTTAGAGAATTCTGTGAGAACCCGTGATTGATTCTTCTGTAGCCGAGAGCTGTTCTCTTAGCAGATGACAGTTGACCCTCACGCCGATTTTCAAATGCCTTCTTCTTTTAAACCCTTGAAGACCTATTAATTTCTTAGAATAAGATTAGTCCTAGGTTGTCAAAACCATTAGATGTAAATTTAATTGGGTTTTGATATCTAGGGCCTAGTTTAAATTAATTGGCTAAATTCAAAAATCTGCTGTCTTGGTAAAAATGCTGGTTTGCCTGCTAATACTACAAAGTGTTTCAATTTCAAGAACTCTGTGCATCTGATACTGCCTGCAGATATCTTTTTAATTTCTAAGTCGAAGATATCAAGAAACATTGCAAAGGCAGTGGGCACTGACAACATTCCGGCAACAGTACTGAAGACTTATGTTCCAGAACTTGCCGCTCCCTTAGCCAAGCTGTTCCAGTACACAGTCACAACACTGGCATCTACTTTACAATATGGAAATTTGCTTGGGTATGCCTTATACACAAAAAGCAGGACAAATCCAACCCGGCCAATTACTGCCCGATCAGTCTCCTCTCGATCATCAGTAAAGTGATGGAAGGTGTCAGTAACAGCGCTATCAAGCAGCACCTGCTCAGCAATAACCTGCTCAGTGATGCCCAGTTTGGGTTCCGCCAGGGCCACTCAGCTCCTGACCTCATTACGGCCTTGGTTCAAACATGGACAAAAGAGATGAATTTCAATGTGTCACCACATTGTCAAGGGCAGTAGATGCTGGCCCAGCCAGTGATGACCACGGATATGGGACAAGTACAGGAACTTGAGATTAGGATACCTTTAGTTGTAGTTATTTTTGGTGCAGACTTGATGGGCCATAGGGCCTTTTCTGCACTGTATGAATCTAGGACCACAGGTTATGAATTAATAAAAAGCAACAGTGGAAGAGTCAAGAGAAGTGATGGTGAGGTCACATACATTTAAGAATTAACACCAAATAATGTCGTTGAGGATGGGATTTGGATGTGAAATTGCAGATATCCTGGGGGATATCACGGAATAGTGCTCGAGCAGAACAAGCAAGTGCTTTGAGATTTTCCAGCTAACATTCAATAGGTAATGACGTAGTAATCACCAGCTCCCACACAGCTACACTCAGTGAATCTTAGAATCCCTACAATGTGGAAGCAGGCTATTCAGCCCATGGAGTCCACACCGATCCTCTGAAGAGCTTCCCACCCAGACCCCACTGCCCTGCCGTATCCCAGTATCCCTACATTTCCCATGGCTAATCCACATAGTCTGTACATCCCTGGACATTATGGTCAAATTAGCATAGCCAATCCAGCTAACCTGCACATCTTTGGACTGTGGGAGGAAACTGGAGCACCTGGAGGAAACCCACGCAGACACAGGGAGAATGTGCAAACTCCACAGTTGGAGGAGGAGGGATTGGCCCTGTGTGTTGTGTTTGGAGCTGGCTTTGAGGCCACCGCTCACTCGAACTTCAATTTCTGAGGGGCAAGGATTGTTCTGCAGGGATAGGATTCCCTCCTTTCAGGGAATAACCCTTTTGTCTTTTTCCTTTAGCTAAAGAGAAGAGCCGAGTGGATCTGCCTATCGATCAAGAGCTTGTGGAGCGAGGTGAGTGGGAGAAATCGCTGCCTGGCAGGTATTTTGTAAACTTACTGTCTGTTATCTGCCTGTACAGCAGAGAAAGTCAGTTTGCCTCATTGTGTCTGTGCCTGCTGAAAAATGAACTACCAACCTTATCCCAGTTTGCAGCGTTTGGACTGTAGCCCTGTGTTTGAGGCTGACACATTTGCAGCAATCTTCAGCCAGAGGTGCCGAGTGGATGATCCATCTCTGCCTTCGTGGCCCGCAGCGTCACAGATGCCTGTCTTCAGCCAATTCTATTCAATCCCATCCACATAATAAAGACACCTTTAAAAGACAGAATTGGGATATGAAGGCATTTTCAAGATGGTAGCCTTTAGCTAATGGAGTGCCATTTTGAAGTATTGCTGAGGCTACAATTATTTACAACCTAGTTATTGCATAAAATTCTAACAAGGCTGTCAGACTAGATGCAGGGAGCATGTTTCCCTGTTTGGGGAGTCTAGAACCAGGGCTCAAGATGTTCAAATGAAATTTGCTGCAATAAATATTTAGATTTTAAAGGCATCGAGGGATAAGCAGTAAAAAAAAATGGAATATAACATTGAGATAAAGGATCTGCCAAGGTCATTTTGAATGGCAGAGCAAGCTCAGTGAGCCAAATGACCTATTACTTTTCTTAGTTTTGATGTTTCAGTGTGAATGCCTTAGATGAGGAATGTGAATGTGAACTTTGCAGATGACACAAAAATAGGTGGGAAGACAAGTGGTGAGGATGATAATCTACGGAGAGACATAGGCAGGTTAAGTGAGGGAGCAGAAACTTGATGAAATATAATGCAAAACTTTGAGGTTATGCACTTTGGCAGGAAGAATGGGAGAGCTGACAGTGATTTAAATGAAGAAAGACTGCAGAAGGCTACAGCACACATGGATTTGGGAGTCCTCGTGCATGAATTACAAATTAGCATTCAAGTTCAGTGGGTAATAGGGAAAGCAAATTGAATTTTGGCCTTTATTTCAAAGGGAATGGAGTATATAGAGTCATAGAGATGTGCAGCAGGGAAACAGACCCTTCAGTCCAACTCATCCATGCTGACCAGAAATCCCAAATTAATCTAGTCCTGTTTGCCAACATTTGGCCCATATCCCTCTAAAATCTTCCTCTGCATCTACCCATCCACATGTCTTTTCAATATTGTAATTGTATCAGCCTCCTCCACTTCCCGTGACACTCATTCCATACACACACTGCCCCCCTACTGCAAGAAAATGTTTGCCCCTTTGGTCCCTTTTAAATCTTCTCCCTCTCACCTTAAACTTATGCCACCTAGTTTTGGACTGTTCTACCCTGGGGAAAAGACCTTGGCTATTCACCCTATCCATGCCCCTCATGATTTTATAAACCTCGATAAGGTCACCCCTTATCCTTACCTACCATCCCACCAGCATCCACATCCAGAGGATCATCAGACACCATTTCCGCCACCTCCAACGAGATTCCACCACCAGACACATATTCCCCTCCCCTCCGTTGTCCGCCTTCCGCAGGGACCTTCAGAAAAGGGTCTGAAGAAGGGTCCAGACCCGAAACGTCAGCTTTCCTGCTCCTCTGATGCTGCTTGGCCTGCTGTGTTCATCCAGCTCTACATCTTGTTATCTCTTGTTGTTGTTGTTGTTGTTGTTGTGAGGAGGGATTTCTTGAAGTTAGTGATTCTGTGAATTTCTTTCTTGCAGAGGGCTGTTGAGGTTGGATCATTAAGTGTGTTCAAGGCTGTGACAGATTTTTAATTAGAAGTCACACGACAACAGGTTACAGTCCAACAGGTTAATTTGAAATCACAAGCTTTCGAAACACAGCCCGTTAGTCAGGTGAAGTGAGAGAGAAGCCTACAGACACAGAATTTATGGGCAGAGAGATCGAGGGCAGAGAGTTCAAAAGATCATTCAAATTGTGTGAGTGGTGATTTTTAATTAGTAAGGGAATCAAATTGTATAGAGAAATGGCAGTTAAGTGGACTTAAGGATCAACAGATTGGCCACAATCTCATTAAATGGCAGAGAAGACTTGATGGGCTGAATGACCTCCTTCTGCTCCTATGTCTTATGGTCTTAAATGAGTTGAGGATCTCTGTCTTTACTGCTCTTTCAACAGTGAGCCTCAGACCTCTACCTCGCCTTGGGTGAAAAATCTTTTCCTCATCCCCTCTAACTGTTCAACTAATTGCTTTAAATCTATGCCCAAACCCTCAGTCACTGACCTCTCTGCCAAGGCTCTTCCCATCCAGACCCCTCACAGTTTTGTTGATCTCAACCAAATCACCCCGTAATCTCCTAGCAAGGAGAACAACCCCAGCTCATCCAGTCTTCCTAATCTAGGCAACATCTTCGTAAATCCCTGTATCCCCTCTCTTATGCAATTACAAATTTTCTATATTGAGAAAATGAGAACTACACACACTGCACAAGTTGCGGCCTGACTAATGATTTATCCAGTTCCAATATAACATTGCTGCTGTTGTATTCTCTCCTTGCCTAATAAAGGAAAGGATCTTATATGCCACCTTAACCACCCTAACTACTGGAAACAACTTTCCCATTGGTAAGACATCTGTCTAAAACCACTTGTTTGTGCCACTGAGATAATTTTGTATCCCACTTGCTACATTCCCCTCTGTGGTAGGATTTTAATTTGTTCGCCACATCTGCCATGTTGGACCTTGTCAAAAGTCTTGCTGAAGTTTCTCAATCTATTCTTCACCCTTCACATTGGTGAGGCGACTTATGGAACTTTGCATACAATTCTGGTTGCCTGCTACAGGAAGGATGTTATTAAACTAGAAAGGGTGCAGAAAAAATTTACAAGGCTGTTGCCAGGCCTGGGGAGTTTGAGCTATAAGAAGGAGCTGGCTAGGTAGGGGAATCCAAAACTAGAGGGGCATAGGTTTAAAGTGAGTGGGGAAAGATTTAAAAGGGACCTGAGGGGCAACTGTTTCACACTGGATAGTGCGGGTGTAGAATGAACTGCCAGAGGAAGTGATAGAGGTGGGTACAGCTACAACAGTTAAATAGCATTTCGACAGATACATGAATAGGAAAGGTTTAGAGGGATATGGACCAAATGCAGGCAAATGTGTCTAGTTCAGTTTAGGAAACCTGGTTGGCATGGACGTGTTGGACTGAAGAGTCTGTTTTTGCGCTCTATGACTCAATGCCTGCATAGAAGGGAAAAGAATAGCAAGGACAAACCCGGACCCATTACAGATGGGGGTAGGAGAATATGTAGTTGGGAACAGGTTGATTATCATTTGCCATTCAATATATTCTGCAAAGGTTCCTGCAGACTGGTAGGCTACAAATGTAACCCGCTCTTTGAGGGAGAAAAGAAGAGGGAGAATGGAGAACTACAGGCTTGTGAATGTGACATCCATGGTGGGGAAAACATTAGAATAGTTTATAAGTAATGTGATAACTGAACATTTTGAAGTGAATGTGAGCATTGGGCAGAGTCAATGTGCGTTAGTGAAATGAGAGTGGCATGGTAGCTCAGTGGTTAGCATTGCTGCCGCAGAGCGCCAGGGACATGGGTTCATTTCCAGTCTTGGGCAACTGCTCGTGTGGAGTTTGCACGTTCTCCCCGTGTCTGCGTGGGTTTCCTTCGGGTGCTCTGGTTTCCTCCCACAGTCCAAAGATGTGCAGCTTAGGTAGATTAGCCATGGGAAATGTGGGGGCGCGGGGTGGAGTCGACCTGTCTCAGTCTTTGGGGGAATACTCTTTGGAGGGTTGGTGCAGACTCAATGGGCAAAATGGCCTCTTTCTGACTGTAGAGATGCTACGAAATGGAAATGCTGTTTGACAAACTGGTGGGACGTTTTTCAGCATATTGCTTCTAGCATATATCTGTCAGACCTGCTGAGTTTTTCCAGGCATTTCTGTTTTGTTTTTGTTCAAAAAGACATTGAGAAGTTGGTGGAGTGAGCAGGTAGATGGCAGCTAAGGTACAGTGCAGAGAAGTGTGAGGTGATGCACTTTGGTTGAAAGAAAATGAAGAGATTATATAAACATACCCTGAAAATGAAGTGTCAGCCTGGTGAAGCTACCAAACAGGACTACTTGCATGCCAAACAGCATAAGCAGCAAATGACAAACAGAGCTAAGCGATCCCACAACCAACAGATCAGATCTAAGCTCTGCAGTCCTGCCACATCCAGTTGTGAATGGTGGTGGACAATTAAACACTCACTGGAGGAGGAGGCTCCACAAATATCCCCATCCTCAATGACGGAAGGACCCAGCACATCAGTGTAAAAGATAAGGCTGAAGCTTTCACAGCAATCTTCAGCCAGAAGTGCCGAGTGGATGATCCATCTTGGCCGCCTCCAGTGGTCTCCAGCGTTACAGATACCAGTCTTCAGCCAATTCGATTCACTCCACATGATATCAAGAAATGGTTGGAGACACTGGATACTGCAAAGGCTACAGGCCCTGACAACATTCCAGCAATAGTACTGAAGACTTGTGCTCCAGCACTTGCCTCTCCCCTAGCCAAGCTGTTCCTGTACAGTTACAACACTGGTATCTACCCAACAATGTGGAAAATTGCCCAAGTATGTCCTGTACACACAAACCAGGACAAATCCAACCCAGCCAATTACCACCCCTTCAGTCTCCTCTCGATCATCTGTAAAGTGATGGAAGGTGTCAGTAACAGAGCTATCAAGCAGCATCTGCTCGGCAACAACCTGCCCAGTTTGGGTTTCCCTGGGGCCACTCAGCTCCTGATATCGTTACAGCCTTGGTTCAAACATGGACAAAAGAGCTGAATTCCAGAGGTGACGTGAGAGTGACAGCCCTTGATATCAAGGCTACATTTGACTGAGTGTGGCATCAAGGAGCAATGGCAAAACTGGAATCAATGGGTATCAGGGGGCAAACTCTCCGGTGGTTGGAGTCATACCTGACACATAGGAAGATGGTTGTGGTTGTTGGAGGTCAATCATCTCAGCTCCAGGACATCTCCGTAGGAGTTCCTCAGGGTAGTGTCCTCTGCCCAACCATCTTCAGCTGCTTCATCACTGACCCTCCTGCCATCATAAGGTCAGAAGTGAGAGGTTTGCTGATGGATTGTGCAATGTTCAGCACCATTCGCAAGTCCTCAGATACTGAAGCAGTCCATGTTCAAATGCAACAAGAGATATCCAGGTTTTGGCTGACAAGTGGCACGTAACATTTGCAACACACAAATGCCAGACAATGACCGTGTTCAACAAGAGACAATTTAATCACTGCCCCTTGATATTCAATGGTGTTACCATCACTGAATACCAGCTATCAATGTCCAGGTGTCTGCCATTGACCAAGAACTGAACTGGATACACCACATTAACACAGTGGCTACAAGAGCAGGTCAGAAGCTAGGAATACTGCGGCAAGTAATTCACCTCCTGACTCCCCAAAGCCTGTCCACCATCTACAAGGCACAAGTCAGGAGTGTGATAGAATACTCCCCAGTTGCCTGGATGGGTGCAGCCCCAACAATACTTAAGAAGCTTGATACTATCCAGGACAAAGCAGCCCGCGAAATTGGCACCACATCCACAAACATCCACTCCCTCCACCACCGACACTCAGTAGCAGCAGTGTGTACCATCTACAAGATGCACTGCAGAAATTCACCAAAGACCCTCAGACAGCACCTTCTAAACCCACGATCACTTCCATCTAGAAGGACAAGGGCAGCAGATATATGGGGATGCCTCCGCTCCCCCCCCCCCACCAAGATCCCCTCCAAGTCACTGACCATCCTGTCTTGGAAATATATTGCCGTTCCTTCACTGTCACTGGGTCAAACTCCTGGAATTCCCTCCCTCAGGGCATTGTGGGTCAACCCACAGCAGGAGGATTGCAACAGTCCAAGAAGGCAGCTCACCACCACCTTCTCAAAGTCAACCAGGGATGGGCAGGAAATGCTGGCCAGCCAGTGACGCCCACATCCCACAAATGAGTAGAAAGAAAGCTAATTGGCAGAGCAGGCTTGAGGGACTGAATGGCCTCCTCCAACTCCTAATTTGTGTGTTCGCATGTTAAAAGTTAGGATAACGTTGTAGCAAGCAATTGGCAAATGGTTTGTTAGCCTTCATTGCAAGGAGATTTGAGTAGAGGAGTAAAGATGTCTTAATGCAATATTCTGCATAATTTTGGTCCCTTTATTTAAGGGTGTCAATGTTTGGCACAGAGGGACATTTACCAGATTAATCTGTGGAATGAAGTAAATGATTACATTTTCAAAGAATGAGAGGTGATCTTGTTGAAACTGACCCTGCAGAAATCCACTAGTCACCAGCTGCCATTCTGAAAAAGACTCCTTCATCCACACTCTCTCTGCTCTCTGCTAGTCAGCCAATTCCCTATCCATGCCTAGTACCTTGCCCCAACTCCATGGGCTTTTATCTTATTTAGCAGCCTCCTGTGGGCACCTTGTTAAATGTCTTCCGAAAATCTAAATAGATCATGTCCACTGGCTCTCCTTTGTCTAACTTGCTCATTAGCTGTCAAAGAATTCTAACATGTTTGTCAGGCATGACCTCCCCTTGACAAAAGCTGTGCTGACTCAGCTCTATTTTACAATACCCTTCCAATACTCTGCAATCTCATCCTTAATAATGGACCGAAAATCTTACCAACAACCAAGGTCAGGCTAACTACCCTATATTCTGCCATCTCTGCCTCCCTTCCTTCTTAAACAGGGCTATTACGTTAGTCAGTTTGAAGTCCTCTAGGACCCTCCTTGATTCCAGTGATTCCTGAACGATCACCACCAATGTCTTCATAATCTCCTCAGCTATCTCCTTCAGAACTGTGGGATGTAGTCCATCTGGACCGGGTGATAGATTTATCTACCTTTTGGACCTGTTAGCTTCCCTGGCACCTTCTTCCTCTTTGCCCCTGATTCTCTAGGAGTTTTAGTATGCTGCTGGTGTCTTCCACTGTGAAAACTGATGCAAAGTACCTATTCAGTTCCTCCTGTCATTTCTGTGTTCCCCATTACTACTTATTCAGCCTCATTTTCCAGTAGTCCAATGTCCACTCTTGCCTCTCTCTTACCTTTTATATATCTTAAAAAAGAACTCTTGCAATTTTCTTTTATATTATTAGCTAGCTTACCCTTATATTTCATCTTCTCCCCATTATTGCTTTTTAGGTTGTCCTGTGCTGGTTTTTAAAGGCTTCCCAATCCTGTGGTTTCCCACTAATCTTCAACACATTGTGTGCTTTTTCTTTTACTTTTGTGCTGTTCCTGACTTGCCTTGTCATCCATGGTTGCCTCATTTTTCCCTTAGTATGTTTCTTCTTCTGGGATGAATTTCTGCTGTGCCTCCTAAATCTCAGTATAATGGGCAGGCCGTTAAAAACTGAGGTGAGGAGGAAACCACTTCACTGAGAGGATGGTGAATCTTTGGAGCTCTCTACCCCAGAGGGCCATGGAAGTTTAATCATGGGTCAAGTTCAAGACAGAAATTGCTGGGTTTGGCATCTCAGGAAATGGAAAGAGTGCAGGAAGGTGTCATTGAAGAGATGACCAGCTGAATAGTGAAGAGGGCTCAATAAGCTAAATTGCCTACTCCTGTTCCTATATTCTGTGCCTGTACATCTGACTCCCACCACCTTGGCAAGTGTCTAGTCCTCGATTTCCCTGTTGGGTTTTGAGTTTTGATTTGATGTGTTTGTGTTTAGCTTCATTATGCTTTGATTTGATGTGATTACATTCTGAAGTTACCCCGTCCTTTCTCCTTGCAGTCACTGATCACTACAACCAGTCACTTATATTCTGTCCCGAGGACCCCAAGATCTTCTTCAGCATCCGGGAGCCCATCGTAAACCGAGTATTCACCAGCTGTCAGCACCGAGGCTTTACGAACAAGTGTGTGCCCTTCACTGGGAGCTCTGCAGGGATCACTTTCTCATATTAGCTCATTTATATCTTAGAAACAGTTGCACATCTGCTTGCCTGTCTTCCTTTCTGCATAATATCACTTCCTGTTGTTACATTTCTGATGCACGTTTATGTGTTGCATTTTTCCAAGTATAAATTTCCTATTCAAACTGTCATAATGCCCTATCTGCACATTTTCAGTGTCTATTGGCTTCTTTTACATTGAGGTTACTGTTTTTGATAACTTTACAATTTATTAACAGTGCAAAGAAAGGCCATTCAGCGCAACCAGTTGAGACTAGGCTTCGCTTCTTCCACGTTCAAGAACATATTTATAGGAGCAAGATTAGGCTACTTGACCCATTGCAGTTGCTCTACATTTGATCGTGGCTGATATCTTTCTTAACTTCATTCTCCTGCCTTCATCTCTTAACCCTGATCCCCTTACTAATCAAGAACCTTTTCCTTAACCACACTGAATGACTTGGCCTCCACAGCCCATTGTGGCAATGGGTTCACAGGTGCCCCACCCTCTGGCTGACAAAATTCCTCCTCATCTCAGTTCTAAAGGGTCCTTCACTCTGAGGCTGTACCCTTGGGTGTTAGTCTCTCTTACTAGTGGAAACATCTTCACCATGACAATTCTATTCAGGCCTCTCAGTATTCTATAAGTTTCAATGCAATGCCCCCTCATCCTTCTAACCTCCATCGAATACAAATCAGAGTCCTCAACCGCTCCTCATATGACCAGAATCTCTAATATCTAAGCCTAATTACAATTAGGTGGGAACTGGAGAAATTAAACTGGGGCGGCCGCTTGATGGTAGATCCAAATCTGACATGTAGGAGTCTTTTAAATACCAGTTAATCAGAATTCAGGACCAGCACATTGATGTGAAAATGATAGCTAGGGAAGGCAAGATTCAGGAAACCAGGATGACAAGACATATTGAAAGTTTAGTCATAAAGGAAAAGGAAGAACATGTAGGATTTAAGAAACTGAAATTAGACAAGGCCCTTGAGGAGTATAAAGAAAGCAGGAAAGAATTTAGACAAGGAATTAGGAGGGCTAAAAGGGGCTCTAAATGCACTTGGCAAGTGGGATTAAGGAGAATCCCAAGGTATGTTACGTATGTTAGGAGCAAAGTTGGTAACTACAGAAAGGGTAGGTCCAAACAAGGACAAAGAAGGGAATTTATGCATAGAGCCAGAGGAAGTGGGTAAGGTCATTAATGAATACTTCGCATCAGTATTCACTGAGAAGAAGGACATGGGTGAGGATAAGGTTAGGGAAGAGTATGTTAGTATTTCTAGGGCATATCAATATTAAGGAGGGGGAGATGTTGGGTGTAGGTAAGTCGGTAGGGCCTGATGGGATCTATTCCAGGAAACTGAGGGGGTACGGGCAAGGGAGGAGATTGCTGGGTCCTTGACAGAGATCTTTGTATTCTCTTTAGCCACAGGCAAGGACCCAGAAGACAGGACAACAGCCAATCTTGTTTCTTTTTTTCAGAAGGGTAACAGAGATAATGCAGGAAATAATAGGCTGCTGAGCCTTACATCATGGTGGGAAATTATTGGAGAAGATTGTTAGGGACAGGATTTACTCAAATTTGTAAAAAAAATGGACTTATTAGGGATAGCAAGGCTTTGTGAGGGGGAGGGCTTGTTTCACAAACTTGATTGAATTTTTTGAGGAAGTGACAAAAATGATTGAGCGTAGAGAAATGGACGTTGTCAGCGTGGACTTTAGTAAAGCCTTTGACAAAGTCTGTCATGGTAAGCTGCTTTGGAGATTAAGTCACATGGGATCCCTGGTGAATTGTTAAGCTGGATATAAAATTGGCTTTGACATTAGAAGGCAGAGGGTAGTTCCTCTGGACAAGTATCTTTCTGACTGGAAGTTTTTGACCACTGGTATTGTGCAAGGATCAGTGCTGGCACCTCTGTTGTTTGTAATAAAAATAAATGATTTGGCTGAAGATATAGTGGTCTGATTAGTAAATTTCCAGATCGTACAAAAATTGGTGGAGCTGTGGCCAGTGAGGAAGGTTGTCAAAGGATATAGATCAGCTGAAAAGTTGGATGGAGAAATGGCAGATGGATTTTAATCAGGATAAGTGTGAGATAGAGCCTTAAGAGATGTACAGCACGGAAACAGACCCTTTGGTCCAACTCGTCCATGCTGACCAGATATCCTAGGTAAATCTAGTCCCATTTGCCAGCATTTGGCGCATCTCCCTGTACACCCTTCCTATTCATGTACCCATCCAGGTGCCTTTTAAATGTTGTAATTGTACCAGCCTCCACCACTTCCTCTGGCAGCTCATTCCATTCACGCACCATGCTCTGTGTGAAAAAATTTGCCCTTAGGTTCCCTTTTAAATCTTTTAAATGAGATGATGCATTTTGGGAGATCAAATGCAAGAGGAAAGTATACAGCAAATGGTAGGACCCTTAGGAGCATTGGTATGCTGAGGGTTCTTGGAGTGCAAGTCCATAGGCCCCTGAAAGTGGCAACACAATTGGATAAGGTGGTAAAGAAGGGATATGGCATGCTTGGCTTCATCAGTTGGGTTATTGAATATAAAAGTTGGCAAGTCATGTTGCAGCTGTATAACACTTTAGTTGGGTCACATTTGGGAGTATTGTGTGCAGTTCTAGTTGCTGCACTAGAGAAAGGGCACAAAAGAGGTTTACCGGGATGTTGCCTGGATTGAAATGTGTTAGCTATGAGGAGAGATTGGACAAACTTGGATGGTTTTTGCTCGAGTGACAGAGGCTGAGGGGTGACCTGAAAGAATATGTAAAATGATGAGAGGCATGGATAAAATGGATTCTGTCTTCCCAGTGTGGGAATGTCAAATAATAGGGGACACAGTTTTAAGGTAAGAGGCAGAAAGTTAAAGGAGATGTGCGTGGAAAGTTTTTACACAGAGGGTGGTATGTGCCTGTAGTGCGCTGCCAGTGGAGATGGTAGATGCAGGTTGAGTGGCCTCCTCCAGTACCATAACGACAACTAAGCATAACCACTGAGCTGATTTGTGTTTCTTTAGTCACTAAAGATTTTTAAGACAGAGGAACATATAGAACAGGAGAGCGCTGTTTAAGGTAGCAATGTTTAAGAGGCATTTAGACAGACACATCAACAGGCTGGGACACAGACCATGTGCAGGCAGATGGGATTAGTTTGGAATGGCATTGTGTGTGGGTGCAGACATGTTGGACCAAAGGGCCTGTTCCTGCGCTGTCTTAAAAATCTTTAATGACTAAAGAAACAGAAACCAGTTCAGTGGAAATGCTTAGACTGAGTCATTACAATACTGGAGGAGGCCATGCAGCCCTCTTGCCCAGGCTAGCTCTCTGGAGAGTGGTCCAATTAGCCCCATTCCCTCACCCTATCCCTTTATCACTCTATCATGGTTCCATTTGACCCTGACTAGCTCAGCTCCCATTGTGTGGAAATTGGTCTTCTTCCAAGTTGGAAGTTGTTTCTTGCTATTCTCCGTCGCTAATCTCAAACTTTTTATTGAAGTGTTCTTGCATTGAAACTTCAGACTACTGTGAGGTCCATTCATATCCCAATACCCGATCCATCAATACCTCAGTTTTGGCTGAGCTGAAAATGTACTGATCAAAGAATGTAGTGGTCATGTCTCAGAAGTTTCTCCACCTCATAACCCTTTCCTCTAATGTGTTCCAATCGATGTTTATGTTACTGAAGTTCTCCAGTGTTCCCATTCCATAGTTGTTGTGTTTGTGACTTCCCAGATTTATTTCCTTACTGGGCCTGTTTGAGCATCAGTTAGATCCTGGTTGATTTCAATCCATTTATCTGCCTTTGCTTCATAACCTTTGATACCCCTCTCCAGTAAAAACCTGTTATAGCCTCAAAAGTCCGTTGTTTTCCCATAATTCACAGCCTTTCACGGAAAGTTCCAGAATATTCTGAAAAGAAACAATTTCTGGCTTTGCTGCTGACTGGACCTGAATGAATTGTACGAACTTCCCTTCCTCTCCGGGACTTCCCCACCTCGCCGGGACTTCCCTACCTGAAGAAATTGTTTCTTTCTGTCCACACAATTAACGTAATTATTTAAACAAATCATCGAGATCTTAGTTTAATTGTGTATCCTCAAAAACATAAGCCTCAATGTAACCTGTTCCTCATCATTCAGTCTGGAATATTGTGGTCGATTAGAATTGCCTCCTCCTTTTCCAGTGTTTATAAAGAGTGTCATCTGGGGCACACAATGGGCTTTGGGGTGTGGGGGCTGAATATTAAGCTTTACCACAGGGCAAGGGGAGAGGTTGGCTGGTTGATGTGTTTGGGGCTGGGAGTTTCTGATGGTTCCTGACCCCTTTCTCACTCCCCTCTATCTTTGTCTTTCTCTCTCCAGGATGAGTGTACGCTCGAGGTGCTGGGATGCCTGTATGGTGGTGGATGGTGGGACTTCATTTGAATTCAATGATGGTGCGATCGCCACCCTGACTGTGGACAAGGAGGATGCCTTGTGCACAGTTGTCCTGGAGGACTAAGATTCTCTCCCAATACCCGGGGCACTATTGGACTGTGCTGTACTACTGAGTGGGTGGCAGGGGGAACGTGGGCTCGTACTCATTGCCTTCTCCAGTTGAATGGCTGGGATGCCTGGGGGTTTGAGCTGCTTGTGGGTGGGAGTCTGGGTTTCTGTGGAGCATGGGCTGGTGCTGCTGGGAGGAGAGGGTTGACTCAGTCGAGGATTGTATCCAGAGAATGTTGTCTTGGTTGCAGTAGATTGGAGCCCAGTTATTATATTCTCCAGTCAAATTATTGTGTTTCCAGCAGCCTCAGGTTATGCACCTTGTCACACAGGGAAAAGCCCTCATTCTGGTGTTTCTATCGCTGAAGCCTCCCTCTCCCTCTTCCATGGGCAGTACCTGTTGTACATGCCCTTCTGTGGGAACCAAGATGCTATCTGAATAACTGATCCAGACTGGGATCCCAGAGGGGAAGGGTCCTGACTCTCACTGGTTCCATCATCTCAAATCTACAGTGTTTATTGGCGAGTGAACAGAAAGACACAATTGGCTTGGTCTGTAACCTGGCCTCCCCTGTTCCAATGCACTAGCATAGAGGGAGAGTTTGAGTGTGCCAAAAGGAGGTGACTGAGGAGGTGTCTGGTGCATGTGTGTGAGTGAATGAGTGTGAACTGCACCAATACAATCAGACAAAAAGTAAAGTCAAAAACAATAATAAACTTTCAAACAAGCTTCAGTGGTTTCTGTAGTTGACTGTCAGGTAAACACTGGTTCAATTGTAATCAGATTGGCAGAGCACAGGAAAGCCCATGCAGTCTACTGTACCTGTGCTAGCTGTCCTGTCAGTCCCTGGAATTGTCTTCTCCCTTTTGGAAGTTCCTATTGAAGCTGCTTCTACTGCCCTGTCAGGCAGCATGTTCCAGATTACAACACTGTGTTTAATTGGGCTTTTGTCAACAACCTTAACTGTGTTCACTGATTACTGACTCATCAGCCCTTGGAAACAGTTACTCTTCATTTTTCTCCATCAGGTTTCAGCTTCTCTGCCTCTGCTGAAGGGAACCCCACTAACTGCTTGAGTCTCTCTCTGTAAGTGTACTAATTCATCCCTGACCCCATTCCCATCAATCTCTTTCACATCCTCTCCAGGAACACAAGAACTAGGAGCAGGAATGGGCCATTCAGCCTCTTGAGCCTGGTCTGTCATTCAGTACCACCATGATCTCAATTACCCTTTCCCACCCACTCTCCATGAGCTTTCAACGCATTGCTAATTAAAGATCTGTCTGTCTCCTCTTTAAATTTATTTAATGTCCTAGTTTGGACCATACTCTGGGCTATTGAATTCCACAGATTAATGACCCTTTGAGAGAAGTGATTGCTCCTTATCTCTGTTTCAACTCTACCAGTCCTTATTCCTAAAACCATGACCTCTTGTTCTAGATTATCCCACATTGGGAAACATCCTGTCTACTTTATCAATTCCTTTTAGCATCTTATATACCTCAATTAGATCTTCTCTTATTCTTCTAAACTCCAGACAGAATCAGCCTAAACTGCTCAATCTCTCTTTATAAGACAAACCACTCATCTCTGGAATCAATCCAGTGAACCTCCTCTTAACAGCCTCCAATATAATTAGTTCCCTCCTCAAGTAAGGGGAGCCCAAAATTGTCCAGAGTACTCCAGGTGCAATCTCACTAATGCTGTGTGCAGTTACAACAGTACTTCCCTACTTTTATACTCGATTCCATTAACAGTATATGAAAATTCCTTTTACCTTCCTTATTACCTGGCATACCTGCATACAGTTTTCTGAAATTCATACACGAGAACATCCTGATCTCTCTGCACTGGAGCACTCTGAAGTTTCTCTCCACTAAGATAAATTGTCTTTGTATTCGTCCGACTAAAACAGAAAACCTCAAGTTTTTCCATGTTAAACTTCCTCTGTTAAATTTTGATCCATTCACCTAATATATCTGTATCCATTTCTAAATTTCTTATTTCTGTATTGCATCTTACTTTCCCACCTATTTTCATGTCATCTGCAAACTTTGGCTGTAACAATTTCTATCTGTGCATCCAAGTCATTAATATAGAATTGTAAATAGTTGGGGCACAAAGACTGAACCCTGTGGCACCCCACTAGTTACGCCTTTCCAACCAGAAAAAGACCCATTTATCCTGACTCTGCTTTCTGCTGGTTAGCCAGACCTCTGTCCAACCTAATAAATTACCCTTAACTGCATTTGATCTTACCTTGTCCATTAACCTTTTGTGTGGCACCCTACTAAATGCCTTCTGGAAGTTCAGATAAGATACATCTACAGGAAAAACCTATCAGGTTCACTAATGTCCTTTAAGGAGGGAAATCTGCCATCCTCACCTGGTCTGGCCTACATGTGACTCCAGACCCAAGGTAATATGGTTGACTCTCAATTGCCCTCTGAAAAGGCCTGGCAAGCCACTCAGTTGGGGACGCTACAAAGTCTCAAAGAAATGAAACTAGACAATGCACCCAGCAACAAGCTAGGCACTGGAAAAGACAACGGCAGAAACAGCCCTGTCGCTCCTGCAAAGTTCTCCTCTTTAATATCTGGGGGCTAGTGCCAAGATTGGGAAAGCTGTCTCACAGACTAGTCAAGCCTGACATTGTCTATAAGGTATGATTCTGTGAGTGTAACTACATCCCAGACACCACCGTCACCATCCCTGGAAATGTCCTGTCTCACCGGCAGGACAGACCCAGCAGAGGTGGCAGCACAGTGGTTTAGTCAGAAGAGAGTTGCTCTGGGAGTCCTGAACATTGACTCCGGACCCCATGAAGTTTCATGGCTTCAGATTAAACATGGGCAAGGAAACCTCCTGCTGATCACCAGGTACTGTCTTCCCTAAGCTGATGAATTGGTACTCCTCAATGTTGAGCAACACTTGGAGGAAGCACTGAGGATAGCAAGGGCACAAAATGTACACTGGGTGGGAGATTTCAACGTCCACCACCAAGAGTGGCTCGGGAGCAGTGCTACTGATCGAGCTGGTCGGGACATTGTTGCTAGACTGGGTCTGCGGCAGGTGGTGAGGGAACCAACAAGAGGGAAAAACATACTTGACCTCATCCTTACTAATCTGCCAGCTGCAGGTGCATCTGTCCATGACAGTATCGGTAAGAGTGACCACCGCACAGTCCTTGTGGAGACGAAGTCCTGCTTTCACATTGAGTAAACCTCCATCATGTTGTGTGGCATTATCATCATGCTAAATGGGACAGACTTCGCTTAGATCTAGCAACTCAAGAGTGGGCGTCCATGAGGTGCTGTGGGCCATCAACAGCAGCAAAATTGTACTCCAGCACAATCTGTAACCTCATGGCCCGGCATATCCCCCACTCAACCATTACCATCAAGCCAGGATCAACCCTGGTTCAATGGAGAGTGCAGGAGGGCATGCCAGGAGCAGCACCAGGAATACCTGAATGAGGTGTCAACCTGGTGAAGCCACCAAACAGGACTACTTGCACGCCAAACAGCGGTAGCAGCAAGTAATAGAGCTAAGTGGTCCCACAACCAAAGGATCAGATCTAAGCTCTGCAGTCCTGCCACATCCAGTTGTGAATGGTGGTGGGCAATTAAACAACTCACTGGAGGAGGAGGCTCCACAAATATCCCCATCCTCAATGATGGAAGGGCCCAGCACATCAGTGCAAAAGGTAAGGCTGAAGCATTTGCAGCATTCCTCAGCCAGAAGTGCCAAGTGGATGATCCATGTCGGCTGCCTCCAGTGGTCCCCAGCATCACAGATACCAGTCTTCAGCCAATTTGATTCACTCCACGTGATATCAAGAAGTGGTTGGAGACACTGGATACTGCAAAGGCTACGGACCCTGACAACATTCCAGCAATAGTACTGAAGACTTGTGCTCCAGCACTTGCTGCTCCCCTAGCCAAGCTGTTCCAGTACAGTTACAACACTGGTATCTACCCGACAATGTGGAAAATTGCTCAAGAATGTCCTGTACACAAAAAGCAGGACAAATCCAACCCAGACAATTACCTCCCCATCATCAATTCTCAATCATCAGCAAAGTGAGTGTGGCATCAGCAAAACCAGAATCAATGGGTATCAGGGGGCAAACTCTCCGGTGGTTGGAGTCATACCTGACACATAGGAAGATGGTCATTGTTCTGGGAGGTCAATCATCTCAGCTCCAGGACATCTCTGCAGGAGTTCCTCAGGGTAGTGTCTTCAGCCCAACCATCTTCAGCTGCTTCATCAATGACCTTCCCTCCATCATAAGGTCAGAAGTGGGGATGTTCACCGATGATTGCACAATGTTCAGCACCATTCGCGACTCAGATACTGAAGCAGTCCATGTTCACATGCAACAAGATGTGAACAATATCCAGGCTTGGGCTGACAAGTGGCAAGTGACATTCGTGCCACACAAATGCCAAGCTATGACCATCACCAATAAGAGACAATCTAACCATCACCCCATGATATTCAATGGTGTTACCATCACTGAATCCCCCACTATCAACATCCTGGGTGTTGCCATTGACCAGAAATTCAACTGTACCCACCACATAAACACAGTGGCTACAAGAGCAGGTCAGAAGCTGGGAATACTGTGGCAAATAACTCACCTCCTGACTCCCCAAAGCCTGTCCACTATCTACAAGGCACAAGTCAGGAGTGTGATGGAATACTCCCCACTTGCCTGGATGGGTGCAGCCCTAACAACACTCAAGAAGCTTGACACCATCCAGGACAAAGCAGCCGCTTGATTGGCACCACATCCACAAGCATCCACTCCCTCCACCACCGACACTTAGTAACACAGTGCGTACTACCTACAAAGTGCACTGTAGCAATTCACCAAAGATCCTCAGGCAGCACCTTCCAAACCCATGACCATTTCCATCTGGAAAGACAAGGGCAGCAGACATATGGGAACACCACCCCCTGAAAGTTCTCCTCCAAACCACTCACCATTCTGACGTAGTCATAGAGATATACTGCACAGAAACAGACCTTTCAGTCCATGCTAACCAGATTATCCTAAATTAATCTAGTCCCATTTGCCAGAATTTGGCCCATATCCCTCTCAACCCTTCCTATTCATGTACCCATTCAGGTGCCTTTTAAATGTTTTAATTGTACCAGCTTCCACCACTTCCTCTGGCAGCTCATTCCACACACGCACCACTTTCTGCGTGAAAACATTGCCCCTTAGATTCCTTTTAAATTTTTCCACTGTAGCATTATACCTATGCCCCCTAGTTTTGGACTCTCCTATCCTGGGGAAAAGAACTTGTCTATTTTCCCTGTCCATGCCCCTCATGATTTTATAAACCTCTATAAGATCACCCCTCAGCTTCCGATGCTCCAGAGAAAATAGCCCCAGGCTATTCAGCCTCTCCCAATAGCTCAAACCCTCCAACCCTAGCAACATCCTTGTAAATCTTTTCTGAACCTTTTCAAGTTTCACAACATCCTTCCTATGGCAGGAAGACCAGATTTGCGCGCAGTATTCAAAATGTAGCCGAACCAATGTCCTGTACAGCCGCAACATGACCTCCCAACTGCTATACTCAATGCACTGACCAATAAACACAAGCATACCAAATGCATTCTTTACTAGCCTATGTACGTGCAACTCTACTTTTAAGCAAATATGAACCTGCACTGCAAGGTCTCTTTGTTCTGCACAACTTACCTTACCATTAAG